CCTAATATTATGTTTTGTATACGGGTTGTATGTATGTGTTTCTGGGAATCAAACCCAGGGACTCCTGTATGCTAGGCAAGTGCTCTTTGTAGAGGACTATCCTCAGTCCCTTTTTAATTCCTTATGGTTTTGGGAACTGAATCTAGTGTGCATACATGCCAGGCATGAGCTTCTCTGCCAAGCCATATACCTAGCTATTGGTTTCTTCATATAACTTCCTCCATCCATTTCTCTCCCAACATGGCTCTTGTTCTTCAGGCATTTTTTTTTTTTTTTTTTTTTTTTTTTTTTGGTTTTTCGAGACAGGGTTTCTCTGTGTAGCTTTGGAGCCTATCCTGGCACTCACTCTGGAGACCAGGCTGCCTTGAACTCACAGAGATCCACCTGCCTCTGCTGGGATTAAAGGCGTGCGCCACCAACACCCAGCTCTTCAGGCATTCTCGAGTCATTCTTCTATGGTGTCTATGATTTTGTAAGACTAATCTTCTCAAGTATAATTTAGCATTTAAGCACCACAGCCTTGCCTGTGCTTGTTACCTCATTGTTCAGGAAGGCCAGAAATGCATGAGTGTGGAGTTCTGAGACCCAATTCACACACAAAGGTGAGAGATAAGAAGCAAATACAGCAGCAGACAAATACTGCAGAGCTTTTAACATCTGAACATCCTATATACCAGAAAAGGATTTTAGAATGCTTTTCAGATCATTGTGTAACATTCTGAATTTCATGTTTGTCTCTGTATATTTTAAGTACTCTCCAGTGATAGGCTAAGTAAATTACTAAAACCTTAATATGCCTTCTTTTCTTCTTCAGTGTTATTTTTGAGACAGAGTCTTGTGTAGCCTAGGCTGGCCCTGTAATCCTTTTGCCTCAGTCACCTGAGTGTTAGAATCAAATCTCCTCTTCATGTCCTGAGTCACAGTATGCATGTGACTTTCTATTGCAGGGGTTGGTGAACTTTTTTTGTAAATATTTTAGGTTCTATTAGCTAAGTGGCCTCTGGTGACACAGTGTAAAAGCAGCCACAGAAAATTTACAACGAATGAGAGCAGCTGGGATCCCTTTGGACCACACTTACAAAAGCATACAACAGGTCAGAGGTGGCCCTGGGGTCTGCTGACGTCTGTCCTACTGGATAGAGCAGAAAGTACAGACCAGGATGAGTCGCAAAGTAAGACATCAGAATGAAAACGACCAGTCTTCTTATTCTACATCACTGAGTAGTCATACTAATGTCTCAGGAGATCTGAAACATGTCCTATGTTGCCAGAATCTCAGAATGGCAGTTTCCCTTTACATGGGTAACTAAAATCAATATCCATGAGCTGTAGAAGTGAACTTGTACTGGGAAGATGACGGAAATTGTCAGTCACAGGATGCCTCCACTTTCTGCCTGTGCTTTACAAGACTAGAGTTCTGCAGTTTTTACTTGGCTCCTACTATTTAAAGAATGATATTATGATGGTGTCTGACTAGTTAGCCTGACATTCTCTAGGGAAGATGCTAGGCTATGTCATCGGTCTACATCCTTTGTGACTCTGGGGCCTGAAAAATTGGAACTTGCTAGAGCCCAACCTTGCAGACTGGATGAGTTAAGGGCCCATCTCCTGCCAAAAGTAAAATCAATTTATACAACACATATTCCCACGACCCCCACACAGGGGAACTAATTCTCTAACAGACCATTTCATGAATAACACAGTCTTTTGTGCCACCAAATAAAAACATGTGGAGGCTGTGGAAACATCTGTTCCGAGATGTTACTGTCAAGCTCTGTTCTTGGAGATGGAGGAAGCTGCATTGTCTTTCAACAGCTTTGATGATCTCATAAAATGTCTCCATTGTGAGACGTGGTCCATCTGTGGTACCCTGAAACTCCCAGGAGCAATCCAACACCAAAGACATACTCATTGATGAGAGTTTAAATGACTCTAAGGTGATGTTTAGAAACAAAAGACTCGTGCTTTAGTCCATGTGTTATTCCTAAAACTCCATTTCATAATTAACATGTTGACTAGGAGTATCATTTAAAAAATACTCATTTAAAAAAAATGTCCCTCAAGGCAGACATACTGGATGAACTTCACAATGCATACTATATTAAGCACAGCAGAGAGGTCCCAAGTCCTTCCCTTGACATCTAAAATCTAGCGCCCTTGTAATACCAAGGGACTATCCTATAATAACACTTCTTTCCTTCCAGGGGAAGGTTGTCCCAGACATGGAAAACAGACACAAAACTTGCTGATTAAGGAGAGGGAGCAACAGTGCTGAGCTGTCGCAGGGAGAGTGAGAGGGAAGGGGTGAGCATCTGTCAAACGTG